CCTCCCACACCCTAACTCCCTCCCAGACCCGCCACCCACACCCCAACCTCTTGCCCCAGATCGAAACTCCCTCCCACACCCTAACTCCCTCCCAGACCCGCCACCCACACCCCAACCTCTTGCCCCAGATCGAAACTCCCTCCCACACCCTAACTCCCTCCAAGACCCCCCACCCACACCCCAACCTCCTGCCCCAGGTGGGAGTCCCCTCCCACACCTAACTCCCTCCAAGACCCGGAACCCACACCCACACCCCAACCTCCTGCCCCAGGTCGGAACCCCCTCCAGCACCCAAACTCCCTCACAGAGCCTGCTCCCGCACTCCCTTTCGCACCCCAAGCCCGTACCCCAGTCCTGAGTCCCCTCCCTTTCTGCACCCCAACCCCCTGCCCCAGCCCGGTCAAAGTGAGTGAGGGTGGGGGAGAGTGAGTGCCAGAGGCAGGGGGGCTGGAGTGAGTGGAGGCAGGGCCTCAGAGAAAGGGCGTGACCTCAAGGAAGGGGTGGGGCAGGGGCAGGGCAAGGGTGTTTAGTTTTGTGCAATTAGAAAGTCCCTGGCAACCCTACATGTGTACAGGCTTCCTCCATCAAGAAGATACTTACATTTCTGTGGCTAATTTCTGAGGATGATTAGCTGATGAACTACCTCTGTGCTTCGTAGCCTCTCTTCATCTTGAATTGTGCATCAAGGTGCCTACGTGGCAGATAAATTCAGTTGGATAGTGTTTCCTATTTGCAAAGCATTACAAATACCCCAAGGAAACCTTTGTCCCTCCCAGCCCCGGCAGAATTCTTTGCAGAGAACACCTTGCATTACCAACAGCTACTCTGGAAGGGTTTGAAGAGTTTAAAAAGAATGTTGTTGGGAATGGTTTCCCTGTGTGTAGCCTCGTACTCCAGGATTCCCACCAGCTGGCCTTGGAGGAAGAGTGAAACATGCTGGTGACACTCAGCAATGTGTCTCTTCTCTCTGTCCTAACCAGGTAGTTGAGCATCTGGGGCTTGTAGGAGGGCTACATGGCTGAGGTTTGAGTCAGTGAAGACCAAGAGAATGCGTGATGATCGGGAGAAGAAAGTGTAAGAAATGGTGGAGATTAGGGGAGTCTCCTCAACTGAGGTGTTGCCCATCACTTGTTTTAAGGGGGTTGCAATTGCGGGAGCAATATTGGGTCCTCAGTTGTTCCTAGTTGCTAAGGTAGCAGTGGTGACCAGCAGTGTCTTTCATTTGCCCTTGTCAGGAAAGGTGTGAGGGCCTCGCTCCAATGATCCAGGCCTTTGGCATCTCCAAATTAGACCCAGCAATGTGCTCTTTATGGAGTTGCACAAACTAAGGAGCAGGGGATGTCTGGGGTTCTCTGCGTGGTGTCTCCTTCTAGAATCCTGATTGTAAACTTATGACCTCACTCCTGTTCTGTTCTTTCATTTGTTGTCCTCTGGAATCTGTTGATCCCTGTGGTTTTTCCTGGTCATTCCTATCTGAAGAGGGGGAGACCCTTTCTAGTTTACTAAATTGATCCCTTTCAAGGATCCATCATGTACATGGGGACCAAATAGGCCTGTGCACTAAATGAGAAGTCCCGTGGAAGAACTAGTATGTGATCACGTAACTAACATAATTAATGCATACACATGAGGGGGGCAAATTAGCGTTGTCTGGGCAACCTTAGTTCTTGCATTTCCTAACTTTTGAGTTTTTGATTTTGCAACTTGAATAATATTCTTTTAACACAGGGTGTTTTTAGCCTCCAAAATGCACAGAAATTGTCAGGACAGCAACTTTGCCCTAATTTAATTCAGAAATTCTTACTTTCACCCATTTCTACTTTAAGGGCACAATTATAGCGCTACCAGAAGAGCGTGTTGGGGGCGCAGCTTGCTCCCTGCAGGAGGGGTGGTTGGGATGTATGTGGCAGTTTGCTCCCTGTAGCCCTTGCGTCCTGGTCAGCTGATGTACAGGACAACACGTGCATACTTTGAGCCTAGGAACTGAGCTCCATGTTGAGTTTATCCCACCTCACAGATCCATCCCAGGGTGTTCATTTTTGCTCTGACGTCTGCTCTCATTCTAGTAATTTCCTCTCTAATAAAAACCGTTTTTAAAATATCAGCAGGTACCGTCTGGGGTCGGATCCTGAGGCTCCTCTGTCCTTCACGCTGATCCACTGAAAGAGTCCCCGAACTGTAAGTAACTTTGATTGGCATTTTCTCCTGTCTTTCATTGAGGTTATGGGTTAAAGATCGAGCCAGAAATTTGATATTTGGCTGCACCGCACTGGGTAATGAAACATCTAACAATGAACTAGTCAGGATTTAAAATACAGTGAAATTCTAATTAGATTAGTCTGAATGTGACAAAGGAGCCCTGTAATATGACATTCTATTTAATTAGTCTTTATTGATTGTGCTTTAAGGTAGACTTCATATACCGTGTGTGTAATTACTCTACTGCAGTACATGGTTGGCACAAGTTTAACTAGTCTGAACCTGACACATGTAGCAGAAAGATTTCCTCTCTGTGTGGAGGTGAAGGGCCAAGCCCTGCCATTTTCACTGAACAGAGGTTCTGGCCTGCCCTGTTCCGACATTTGTGTGTATGTGAAGGGACTAGGCCACCTCCTGTGGATAATTTACTTGGCTGCTTGTTGCACGATTTATATACAACCGCCCCTGTGGTTACAGAAGAAGTTATATCTCCTGGCCACACCTGCTCGCAGGCAAACACCCCTGCCAGCCACAGGTCAGAATCACAAGAAACAGTCTTATAAAAGCCCACCCATCTGTGTGGCACTCCTTGGCATGGGGACCTCACCCAGCGTGGCTTGGTGCAGTAGAGATGGGTGACTGATGGAGAGGAGAAGAGGTTGGTAAAACAGCAAAGAGCAGGGCCGGCTCCAGGCACCAGCTTAACAAGCAGGTGCTTGGGACGGCCAAGGGAGAGGGGCGGCACCTGCGGCAATTCGGGGGCGGCAGGTCCCTCACTCCCTCTAGGAGCGAAGGACCTGCTGCTGAACTGCCGCCGCCGCTGATCGCGGCTTTTTTTTTTTTTGCTTGGGGCGGCAGAAATGCTGGAGCCGGCCCTGGCAAAGAGGCAGATTTCCTGTAGCCCTTGTCTCTCCTGCCGTGAGGGCTAGCTGAGCGCTCGTTCTCTCCCATGATGGGATGAGTGTAGATGGCTGAGTTTGTTCGGTGGGCGTCAGCCAAGATTGACTTCCTTATGTGGAGTTTTAAGCCCTCCCAAGGTACATTCGAAACTCAGTTTTTGGCAATTTGCTGCATCTCTGAAGGCGCCTGGTAGAATTCCCTTTAATAGTCCATTGGCATCTAACTAGTCCATGGAATTATAAATGATTAACCGTTATCAGCGAATATCATCACCTCTGTGTAAAAATAGATTGACTGTAATGAGCATTTGAATAAATCATAAGAATGGCTAGCCTGATATCATATAACATCATGCAGATGGCTGAGCAAGAAGCATATTGAACCCTGCCACCTTATGGCTTGCTGATTTCAGTGCTGACGGAGTTAGTGATGGAAGGTTGTAACTTGCAGGGCACCTCATTTTGGCAGTCACATCTGTCTGTCCATTTGTCCGTGTGGTACATATGCATGATTTCTTGAGTATCCCGCTCAACAGAAAAATAAGAAACGGAAACTTCTGCACATCTACCTAAAATCAGTCATACTACTAATGGTGTGATATGCACAAACGCCCTGGAAAAGGTCAGGATTGTGTGAAGGACTCAGAGATGAGCTGCTGCCATGTTATTCTTTGGTAGTTCTAGAACAGCAGCCAATGGAAGGATTACGTTTCTGAAATGTTCCTCCATCCCCATGTACATTCTTGTATTCTTAGACCTTTGTGTCCTCCTCTGTAGCTGGCCATCTCGATGTGCAACTCTTCTTTGCTGAAGTGTTAAAATATCCTGGTGGTGACTTCTAGGGTATTATGTGGATTGGTACAGGTGATTGCTTGATTCTTCATTTCTGCTCCCATCTCTTGGGCTGTCATAATTCACCTCTAGGTCTTTGATACAATCTCAGTGCTTCATTCAAGGCCTCTCTTTTCTCTGACTCTGGCGGCTGGTAATGACAATGTCTGGCACAGTATTATGATTGACTGGACTTGTAAGCTTAAAACAGAATTCCTTGGGGCCTGAATCTTTGGAATCATTTGTAGGGTTTTCCTCATCTCAGGTCCTTTGTGTATGTGCCTGGCTCATGTCAATTAGCGATGGCAATCCTGGTTGTTGCTTTGCTCACTCACTTGTCAGAGTGGGCGAGAACACCAGGCACTGGGAATGTGTAACTAAGATGAGGAGTCGTGGCTTATCCTCTGCGATATAGAGCTCGCTCCTGGATGTAGTCTTCCAGACCGTGAACTTGTGCTTGTTCTAAATGAACAGCTGTATACAAGACCAAGCAGGTGGCTGTCTTTGTCCTATAGTATTCCATTGCATGATCTAAGCAAAAGACACCCATTGCTGTTTATGGCAGCATCTCTGCAGTAAAGTACCTCAGTTATTTGGGGGCCTCCGAAGGAGCAGACTAGCCATAATAGCCAAGAACTTTTAGGGATACTTCTTGATAGTAGATATTGGTACAGGAACAAGCTCCCGGAGTCACTGTGAGATGGTTCCCTAGAGCATGTTTGCTGGTGCTTGCTCTAGTTTGGGTTCCCTGGGGGTTAGCTTGAGACCAGGCCCAGCCATTTAGAGACCCCCATGCTTCCAGGCTAGCTCTATGTCTAACTCTCCCTTCTCTGCTCTCCATTGATGGGTTTCCAGAGCCAGATACTACCTTGGGAATCCAGTTAAGTGTGGAGAGTGGCCTGAGGCTGTTATCTTTCTGGGAGAGTCTCTGCAGGGCTAGTATCAGAGGGGTAGCCGTGTTAGTCTGAATCTGTAAAAAGCAACAGAGGGTCCTGTGGCACCTTTAAGACTAACAGAAGTATTGGGAACATAAGATTTCGTGGGTAAGAACCTCACTTCTTCAGATGCAAGTAATGGAAATCTCCAGAGGCAGGTATAAATCAGTGTGGAGATAACGAGGTTAGTTCAATCAGGGAGGGTGAGGTGCTGTGCTAGCAGTTGAGGTGTGAACACCAAGGGAGGAGAAACTGCTTCTGTAGTTGGCTAGCCATTCACAGTCTTTGTTTAATCCTGATCTGATGGTGTCAAATTTGCAAATGAACTGGAGCTCAGCAGTTTCTCTTTGGAGTCTGGTCCTGAAGTTTTTTTGCTGTAAGATGGCTACCTTAACGTCTGCTATTGTGTGGCCAGGGAGGTTGAAGTGTTCTCCTACTGGTTTTTGTATATTGCCATTCCTGATATCTGACTTGTGGGGTGGGGTGGCTTCACATTGAACTATTGGAGATTTTCTATTTACAATATATTATTATTTATTTATTA